TATGACAAAATTCATGACCAATAACAGGACAGACGCATAAAAATCTGACGTCAATTTGTTTTTTAAACAAATGTACGACACGTTCTCGTCCCCAGAGGCCGCGCTCCTTTTGGTCAGCACCGAGAGTTCACTAAGGATGAAGAGTAAAGCTGGGTTCTAATCTCGTGACAAGTCCGAGGTAGGAGAGGCTATCAAGGCCGCGTGTCTGTCAGCTGAATATACAGCAATGGAGTTTATGCAACTTCTTCTCTTTTTGCTCCCGGTTTGGGCCTGCCTTATTGAAGTGGATGGAAAAGAGAGCTTCGCTTCCGTTGTGTTTGATTCTGATGGCCAACTGGTGATAAACGCGGGATATGACTCGTCCCAGCCGATGGTGGCTTGGGGTAAATTTCGTGACGAAATCAATTCCACCGGGTAAGACGAATTTATCTTATTAGTTATAAATTCCATGTTGTTTACTTGATGTATTTCGACGGTAACTATACCTGTCAATGTATTAAAAGTGCAGAGTTGCATAATTGTCAAAGTTTTGCCAGGATGAGATGTAGAAAGGGAGGTAACTCCGTAAAAACTAAAATCTTAAGTTAAGATTTTTCGTCTTACCTCAGCACGAGAACAAAAGCGGACGTAAGTTGTCAGCTATTGCTCTGGTGCTGAGGTAAGGCGAAAAATCTTAAATTAATATTACGGAGTATCCCGTACAAAGAGTTTTTTTTCCGCATTCAAAATGTGGGAAAAAACTGGCCGCGCACAAATTGCTACCCAGGCTAAAAAAAGCAAATGAAAAAGTCATCAAGTGATTGATAGAGGCAACAAAACAGATCTGCATGATTTCATCGTCATGAGATGTTCTCCTCGTCATGTGAGGAAGTAGTCATGTGTCAGAACACAAAAGCTATCAGATGAGACAAAGTGGTTCAAACCATTATATTTTTGGACAGGGGAGAGGGAGATGGGGCTGGACAATCCGAAATAAACAATTCCTGCACAGCAAAAACTGCTCTAGAAAAAAATCCTGCAAGGGGGGGACAAGATACCTCAGCACCAGAACAAAAGCCGATGTAAGTTGTCAGCTATTGTTCTGGTGCTGAGGCAAGGCGAAAAATCTTAAATTAAGATTACGGAGTATCCTGTACAAAGAGTTTTTATTCCACATTCAGAATGCGGAAAAAAAACTGGCCGCGCACAAATTGCTACCCAGGCTAAAAAAAACAAATGAAAAAGTCAACAAGTGATTGATAGAGGCAACAAAACAGATCTGCATGATTTCATCATCATGAGATGTTCTCCTCGTCATGTGAGGAAGTAGTCATGTGTCAGAACACAAAAGCTATCAGATGAGACAAAGTGGTTCAAACCATTATATTTTTTGGACGGGGATGGGGAGATGGGACTGGACAATCCGAAATAAACAATTCCTGCACAGCAAAAACTGCTTCAAAACAAAATGCTGCAAGGAGGGGCAGGATACCTCAGCACCAGAACAGAAGCCGACATAAGTTGTCAGCCATTGTTCTGGTGCTGAGGAAATAAACAATTCCTGCACAGCAAAAACTACTCAAAAAAAAATTCCTGGAAGGGGCAGCATTGGGAAAAAAATCAAGCAAGTGCTTTCTACTTACATTATTTTGATTTTTGATGTTATTGCACATTAGCTATTGCCCTCCAAGAAAAATCATGCACAACCTAAAGGTGAGAAAAAAATTCAATGCCCCAGAACGTTGCCCAACCACCCCCCCCCCTCCCTTAAAGAAAGATACTGGTAATGATCCTTCCCTTACTACTTTCAGTGACTTATATTATTGAGTTAAATTAATGTTCATTTTCTTTGTTTTCTTTTACAAAAGATGGTCTTTCCTGGAGGTACATTCAAATGCTTCATTACCAGACAAGACACAAGCAATGGCAGCAGGGATGGCAGAGGGAGTGCTCACTGCAAAACTCATGTACAAAAGCTATCAAAATACCCTGGCTGGCTACTGCGATGCTGACCCTGACTTCTGCACAAAACTGGGTAAATTCCTTGGTGAAAATCTAAAGTGGATGATGGAGCAAATCACTAGCAACCCTAAAGATGAATATTGGTACCAGGTGAGCGCTTTAGATTTATGATTTAACTTACCACTCAACCAACTTACGGGAGGCACAGTTGCCTCATGGTTAGTGCGCTTGTCTCTGGATCAAGCAGTTCGGGTTGGAACCCCACTCTGCATTGTGTACTTGGGCAAGACACTTTATTCTCACACTTCCTCTCTCCACCCAGGTGTTGAAATGGGTACTAGCAAACTTAATGCTGGGGATAACCTTATGATGGGCTAGCATTCCATCCAGGGAGGAGTAGAAATACTCCTAGTAACTTGCTTCGTGTTACAGAAATGGCAATAAGCTCTGACCTGATGGGCCACTTGGCTCATATGCAGACTTAACCTTACTTCTCAACCACTTCATTAAAATGCAAGGTCCTTTAAAAGGGGGTGGGTCTGTGGGGCAGGAACCTGGGAGAATAAGGGGCAGGAGACAGGAGAGGAAAGGGCGGAAAGTTGGAGAGGAAAACGTGGGAAGCAGGAGTTCTAAGAAGGCAGGAATCATTTCTTAAGCGTTAAAATACTTTCAAAAACAAGAACCCAAAATGTTATTTGACTTACATTTAGCCTATTTTGAGACTTCTGGGCCTACAGAAAAACGAAAATTTGTCCTTGGGCTAAATAACTGAGGCTTACTGACATGAAATGTTATCGCTTAAGGTTTTAAAAGACGTGAGTAAGAGGAGCAAGGCTGAAAACAAAGGAAAAACGCAAAAGGAAATGCCTATAAATAAAGGAGTGCACAGCTAAATGACAAGGATGTGTTTTGAGTCTCTTTATCCACAAGGGACTGGAGCAAGATGGGCGGGAGTTGGAAGAAAAAGGTACGGGAAGTGGGAGAGCAGGGTACGGGAAGCAGGAGGTTCTGACCCCCCTGTCCCCTCCCCCACCTAAAAGCTCAAGATTAATTAACATGTTGGGGTATATGACTGTCTATGAATACCAGGTACTCACAATTGATATTACCTATTCATTAATTGTTGGTATATTATTTATAAATTAATGATTAAGTCATGGCTGCAACAAATTGTTAATCAAGGAAGTATCTGTTATTGTATATGACTACTAGATCCCACTGGTATAAAAATGAGTTAAGAACTGAATGGGTACTAATCTGTGTTGTACATGTAAGCATTTCTTAWTTATTAAATCAATAATGTATCATAATAACAGATAAACCTGATCCTTGAGCAGTTCAAAGGAATTATACAAGGTTATCTCCACGATACATCTATTCCTCCTATTGATGATTTTGGATTCCTGTGAGTATGCTATAACATTTAAAATCATTTATTTTTGCTACTTAATTGTTTTCAAAACAGTGATCACTTTCATTTTGTTTACTGCTTATCAGAAATCATGCATAGTTATGAAGCTAAGAAATGACCAGAAAAAATTTATAATTTGAGAAACCTTACAGGTGGCATTATAATATGTAGTGCCCTGTCTGCTGAACTTGCAACTGTGAGTGTGTGTTGAATGTCTAGGGCTAAAGACCGTCTGTTCCTTAGTAATTTAGTTTTCTTTGGTTGAATTTTGTTGGTTGGAATTGTTAAGTCTGATGCAAGCTGACTGTGACTTGGAAGATCTGGAGCAGGTTTTAGGAAAGAAGGAAGTCCGCCGTGTGTTTGGCTCAGGTTCCTGTTCTGCACTGATTAAAGTTTTGCCAGGCAACAAAGACCTGTACATTTCTCATGTCACTTGGACATCTTATGCAGAGTTGCTGAGAGTTTTTAAACTGTATGATATTGGAGTGACTGTGAGAGGAAGTGCAGGTGAGTGCTGTTTGACAAAAAAAAATATTTCAGGGTGCAACAATACAATGTACACATAAGTCACATTCAATATTTAGATTATGGTTTACATATTTATGATTACTCACTGTCTTAATAAATTTTCATGAGAGCTAGTATCATATGTTGCAGGTTGGATGAAAAAAATAAAGGTTAAATTACAGTGGAATCCCGAGTTTTGTAACCTCCAAGGGAAACAAAAATTGGTTTGAAAAATTGGGTAGTTTTTGAAGTCAAGGGTTAAATTACATTGTTCAACTGAGAGAAGGGAAAGTACTTTTGGTTCCAAATATCTGGGTGTTAACTGGAGGTTCAAAACATTGGGATTCCACTTAATTCTAAGAGCCACTAGGTGGTTTATCAGAGCAGCGGTTTCTGTAGCGTGATGTGACTACAGAGGTTTCCCCTTGGAAGCATTTTGTGATTTGTTGCTACCCAAAATTCTATTTCCTGGGTGAAGAGAGGCACTGTGAGAAGAATGTCTTATTGTTTCCAGTTCTAACGACGCTAACAAACCTTGAGCCCAACCCAGCAGAGCATTTACATCAATCCTAGATGGTAACTTTATATATTAATGTTATATTTTTAGCCCAGTTAAAAATTATTAATTTAAGAGCTAGATGTTCTATTGTGTAATTTGGGTTACCTATGTACTTTTTAACGGATATTGGATATATGGCATGGTACATGACGGTGTATATCAGTTGATATTGAGACCAGTTCATGGATTTTGATTTTACGAGTTATTTTCTTCCCTTCCTTTCCACCCTAAACTGGGTGAAGTTTTGTTTCTGCAGGTTTTAATTAGTTTTTGCTTTCAAGTTTCCCTGTACTGGAAATAAACTAATTCCTTTCCCAAAGAAATGTTGTGGTGGTAGTGTCTTGTGTTTTAGTTAATTTTGCCGGTGAATTGTCAGAAAATATTATTTATTACTACTACCTCAAATTCTGCAGTAGTGACATAAAAATCTTTGATGACCAGTTTATTTTAATTAATATATTTTTCAGATGAAATTATTCCTGGAAGAAAGCAGAGTTTCTCTTCTTACCCTGGCACTATGGCAAGTTTGGATGACTTTTACATGTTAAGCAGTGGAATGGTCAGTATACATGAAACATTTTGGCACAAATATTTTAAATTAATATACTAATTGATCATTGAACAAACTCTCGCAATGTCTGTATAACAGTGCAGTTACAAAATCTTTGTTACTATTCTGTCATTCACTCTTCACAGATCCTGTGCACAACATGCAAATTTAATATAACATTCAAGAAGATTTTTCTGACAAATCCCAACAATGTCACATTTTAGTTTAATTGGCTTTCAAAATGCATGCAGTCTTTCACAGCTTGATTAGTTTAATTTAGAAAATAACTATTCTGCTCAATCATTTGAAATATTACTTATGGCCTTGTAGATAAAAGTACTATGTAACTTTCTGCATTATTTTTTTGACTATACAATAACTTTATTTATTTATGTATTTCCTCTATTACTGATATATTAGATTTTGGCATACAGTTAGGTTCTTTTGTTGATTTAGTCGCTTTGGAAACGATGTACATGCACTTTTCAGTCGTCATAGTTTGAAGGTGTAAAATAACCCTGAGTAGAGGAAGATTTAGATCTTAAAAATAAGGTTGATAATGAATCTCTTACTACGGTATGAGCCCCAAAGGATATTGTTTTTCACCTGTTTTGGTCAGAAACAGGGTATCGATTTTGGTCGTTTTGGTCTAAAATAGGGTATGGCTTTTGCACAAGTTCTTGTCTTGAATTCAATTTAGAAGAAGCTTCTTTTTCCTCATTATCAATAAGACCAGCAACAAAAGCCCTTCACGATGCCTTTAACATCGGTCTGAACTAGGTAACTAATTATGAGACAGGTCTGAAACAGGGTCTTAAATAGGGTGTCAAATTTTTGGTCACATCACAGATGGGGTGGGGAAAATCGCAGATTTTGGTCTTAAATAGGATAAGGGTTTTGGGAAGCAGGCCACACAACCCTACCCGATTTTTGTCGGAGTACCCCCTAGGAGAATTAATACTCCTTTTTATCGCAGGTGTCTCAAGAAACCACCATTGATAACAGTAACCCTGACCTGTGGAAGTATGTAGTAGAGAGAGGAATCGTCTTAGAGTGGATACGCTCTATCGTAGCTAATCGATTGGCACGCACCACAGTAGAATGGGCTTATTACTTTTCACAGCACAACAGTGGAACGTAAGTCTTGTGTTTCAAGTATTCGGTTGTCTCATGTACAACTTTCCATGTTTCTGGGACGTTTTCTTTCTGCATTCAACTCAGAACACCTTGAAGCGGATAGACATTTAACTGTCCGCATATGTGTCCAGACAATGCTAATAGCTATAGTACAAAATACTAATAATTCCTATCTTTTTATTTCTTTTTGTATTTGGATGTGTCCCACAGCTACAATAACGAGGTTAGTAAGACGTCTGTGTTGTGTTTAATTTATCCATAATGTGCAGAGTAGCAAGTAAATTTCTAGGGCAGTTCTAGGGGGTTTAGAGAATTCAGTCAAACCCCCTAGATTAAAGAAATGAGACATTGTAACACGCAGACTTAGCTTCAGAATGCCGGAAACCCCAATTCCGAGGACCTCAGTTTTAACAATTTTCCAGCTTAACCTTCCTCTTCATGTGATGACCTTGACTATCGTTAGCTAATCTGAATGGGTTTGTTTATTATTATTTTCTTAGTGGATGGTCCTTGATTACAAGCAGTTCACTCCAGGCGAGCCTATCTACCCAGGGACCCTTTTGATCCTGGAGCAGATGCCTGGCATCATAGAAGTAGCAGATATGTCTGTTTACCTGCAGGAGAACACTTACTGGGCAAGCTACAACTTACCGTGAGTGGAAATAAATTAATAAAAGGAATTGGTAGGGCTAAGCTCCAGTACAGGTCCTCCCCGGCCGTATTTCATGTTTCCTCAACGGGTCGTACGTATGTATTTTTGCCCTTGGGAGAAGAGAGGCACTGTGCGTGAGAGCAAAGCGTCTTGCTCACGCGTAAAATTGTTCCCAACATGATCAACGCAATCATCATTCAAGCCAGGACTGACTGACCTTGAGTCCAGCGCCCCAACCATTTGGTCATCGTATTTCCGTTGGCGGGCTGCGCCTCTTAACGATATAACAAGTGTTAATATAAATCTACTAGCGTTCCATCACAAATGCCGTTCTCTTATTGGCTACGCTATACACTATCTAATTCTTTTTAGTATAAATCTACTAGCGTTCTATGAC